GTCCCTGCCGCCAGCTGCTTCTGCGGATGCTTGCCAGCTCTGTCCCCACTGCTGATGCCGCCGGTGGCTTCTGCGGGTGCCCCCCAGACTCGGGAAGCACCAGTTGCCCATGATTGGGACAGGTCTTTGTCCACATCTTCCTGGATCAACCTAGGTTCCCAACACTACAGCTGCTCTGTCTGCTCTTTACACTTTCTTCCATGAAAGAAGTCAGGAAAGAGCAAAGTCGTCAAATGCTATACTAGACATGCAATGTACTGAGACAGGCAGGCACATGTACCATATATATGCATCTGGGATTATTTTTCAATTGTTGCCGTAGAAAAAACATGAGAACCAGTTACACGTTAGCTGACAGTCTGAAGAGTCCACAGATTTTGCAATGGGATTTATGAGGTTGCTCAAGTGATCAAGCCTTGGCCCCTTAACTGCTTGCACCTTAGAGCCTTGCTGCAGAAAGAGAGGGGATGAACACACAGGACACTTCTCCAGTCCCAGAACAGCCATTTCAAGTTTAGATCTATCATCATAATTTCCCCCAATATAATGAGTCCCTGGGGAAATGCTGCCAACCAGTAGAGTAAGGTATGTGCAGAGGTTATACAGAAGAGTACCAGGAGTTCTCCATGTCACAATCAGCTACTTTTTATTGCCTCTCTCAATCAGAATCTCTGTATAGACAAATAAAGTATCAATATCCCAAGAGAGGCCAATATTTACAGGTCTTTTTTCAATTGGAATCATCCAGGAAAATAGGAAGGCCAGTACCAGTATAGACTCTTGTTTCTCTAAGGCGCTTGTCTACTCAGGGAAATCAAGACTCAATCATAATCACAGTCCTGACTCCACCATGTGGGTACTACTGTAGAGTAAAGAACAAGGAACTTTATTCTGAAACCGTGTTTCTTTTTTTGCAAGACTAATAACTCCACTCAGAAAGCAAAAGAGTTATTCTGGAGTGGAGTGTCTGCATGGGGGAGTTAGAACAGCCAGGCTCAATTACAGCACAAAGCCCTAGTGGGATACTTACTCCAGAACCGCAGTGTTGGCCTAGTTTCTCCACGTGGACAAGGTCCTACCGACTGAACAGTAAACGTGCTAATAAGAACTGAGACAAGGGAGACAGGTGAGTGGATACATGCCAGCAAAATGGGCACTGGACTGGATCTATCCCTATGCAACTCAGGATCAGTCCCCTCACCTTCCTGTGCCTCCCCTCCTTTGCCTGTTTATACATAAAGCTCTTCAGGGCAGGGCTGGCTATTGCTGTACATTTGTACAGTACTTAGGAAAATTATTAATATTATTTCAGCATCTGCAAAATGTGGCAAACTTATCTAACTTAGGGTCCGATCAGATCAATTATACCAATTTAAAATACAAGGTGGGAGGGACTCTCCATGCATGAGCTAATCTACAGTTACCATTTCATGTGTCCACTCCTACTCCAGAGCAAACAGAAACTCAGCTGCCATACGTATGCCTTGCTTCACTCAGAGCTAAGCCTCCCTGGTACAGCTTTTACTTACTACAAGATAGGAGCAGACACATGAAACAGTTACTGAGGAACAACTGATATGTAGAAAGTGTCCCCCTCCTATCTCTTCAAATGCAGTATAAATTTGCTCATCTGTCCATACGCTTACTCACATACAGGTGGGGACTGAAAACTAATAGCAACTCTCTTCCCTAAATAAATCTCAGCTTTGGAACACCTTCCCTAGTGTCATCACAATCATGATACCAGGCCCTGTGTTTAACAAGGAAGAGCCTCCAAGGTGGGGCACAGATCCCTAATACTCAACCAAACTCACCAGGGCATGCCAAGGCCATGCCATCAAAACCATAATGAAGCAGCAGCATCGAGAGCAGGCACAGTTCAAACATTTTCTCCCCAGCAATGGTGAAAGACAAGACATCCTTCTCTCTAAATTAACCCTGTCCTTTCCAAGGAATGCCTGGAATTTCTACTATTTCCCTA